GGGTTTGGGGTTTGGTTTAGGGTTTAGGGTTAATGGGTTTAGGGTTTAGGGTTTAGGGTGCAGGGCCTGGGGTTTGCATGTTCAGGCCCTGGGGCAGTCCTTTCATCCCGGTGGATCCTTAAGCCTGAAGGTTCCTGATAAAGGGATCCTATCAACTGGACCATGGCTCCGGGATGGTTGAGTATAGCAGCGCCCTAGATCCCAAAGCCCGGTTTAGGGGTTTAGGGTTTAGGGCTTACCTGAGACCCCAAAGAACCTACCTTTTTAAAAGGACGTATTAAGGAGATCATAGCAAGGAACTCTAAAAGGGGTGGTTCTTAAGGGTCCAGGTAGGGGCTGAAGGATCCGCGACCCGACACAGACCTGCCAAGCCTTCATGGATGCATCTACGAGACCGTATACACAAGGGAGCAGTCTAAGTTGCTACCCATAGGCCCTAAAGTAGTTCCTTTTTGGGGTTCATATTTTTAATCCTATAAGGTAATCCCAAAAAGGAACTACTATGGGGCCTATGGGTAGACCCTAGACTATATGATTTGGGGATAGTAAGGGTGTCAAAGTCTACCTAACACCCCACCCCTACAGTCTGGGCATTTCAGAGTGTCCATTCATAACGAAGAAGGCTGGAATCAGTGATAAGGCTGGAATCAGTGATAAGGCCGGCTGCAAAGCTGGGCCGTGTCTCCAAGTTTCAAGCCTGCCCAGAAAAGAAATAACTGGCAACTGAGCCTTAAACTTGCTGTCAATGTAGGGGCTTTTGTAAATCGAACCCTGCTTGTGGGCTATTTTCTAGTATAATCGAACAAGGACCTCTCGGGAACAGCTTCCGTTCCCCTGCACACATCGAGGGCCCCACCCCGGCTGCTAGACCGGGCGGCGCCACAGCAAAAGCACCGATCTCGGCTAAAGATCGCTAAGGCTTTAAAGTGGGCTTGAGAGTTCAAACTCAAGGCCGGCTTGGGTTTAGGGCTTAGGGTGTACCTTAAGAACCCAAAACCTACTTTTTTGTAGGGTCCCTATAAATCCCAAAGTGGGGTTTAGAATAAGAACCTACAAAAAAGTGGGTTTTGGGTTCTTAAGGTACGGTTTATAGGACTTTAGAGTTGTGGTATTCAGATATCAGGCTTGAGGGCATGTTGAGGTTGCCCTGGGTATTGGTGTACCCGCCTTCTGACCTCAAGTGTCAAATCAGAAATAACGTAACAATGTAGGATGCGAAAACTAGCTCGAAGCAGAGAACTTTAAAACATCAGTTGCTATAGATTGGGGTCTCGGTATAGAAACAGAATCGGGACAATTTAGAAATGCAACTGTGATTTGCCATTATGCCATAGAGCCCTCAATAGAACATTACCCAACACACCGGTCCCTGTTATTAGGCTATATTAGGATACTCGAGCCTCATCCTCTTTCAGGTCACAGATGACCAACCCGCCGTTCTGGCTTGTCTACGCACAGCAGCCACCCACAGCCACAGGCCTACAAAACCCAAGGCCAAAACCTGAATTTCTGAATGCCCCCCCCCCCCCCACCCCGCCCTAANNACCCTAAACCCTAAACCGTTCAAAACCTCCAACCTCCCCGCCTCCCCTCCTGTCGACAGAATTTACCAACCCAATGTCCGAGTAAGCAGGCGGCTGGATCAACGCGTATCCGGACGGCCTCGCCGGTAGGTCGGAACATCGCGGGTGCAGGGTGTGCAAGGTTTTAGGGTGGACGCTAGGGTCTTTGTGGATCAGTCAGGTATGCATCATCTTACCTACAACCTCTCTATACACGACTTCTGAGCCATCATCTCTTGGTTTAATAATGTACAGCCCCTGCCACCTTTATGACAAGATGGACGCGTGCGCCTCGGACAAGCCCCGCACGCGCATCGGGGCATAGTCGGCCCCTGCTTCGCTCGGTGCTCACTGATCCCATGAAGGGCCGGAGGATCCAATATTTTCGTACTTAGGGTTTAGGGTTTACGGTTGTTTCGCATAATGGTTATGTAGGTTGCTAGGGTTACTATTTGGGAGAGTTTTCGTTAGGGTTTAGGGTTGTTTCGGATAAGTGTTATGTAGGTTGATAGGGTTACTATTTGAGAGATCATATGATTATGGGGCACTTGGACTTTTTTGGGGATGGTCTTCAGGGACTACCGGGGCATGGTCTTCAGGGACTACCTGGACCCGTAGATGCAGGTCCGTCCTGAAAAAGGACGTACTTGTAAGGGTCGGGTAGAAGTTCTTCCTTGTGAATTTGGGGGTTCAACTGCTGCAGGATTTGCTGTACTGCTGACTACTGCTTCGCCAAGGGGGCTGGAGCTCTAAGGCGTGTGAGTGTGTGCGGGTGTGCTTTTGAGTATGCAGCGTTTAGTTCGTGTCTTCATGAACTATATCCTCGCAACGACTGAAGTCGGCCAGGGCTTAGCTAATGTAGGGGCCTTAATAATTAGAATAGGGTTTTGGGGGCTTCTTATTAGAATGATAGTATAATATGCCCCCCCCCCCCAAACCCTATTCTAATTATTAAAGCACCTACATTAGGTCCTTCGTTTTCTACCGAGGTTCAGAGATTTTTTTTTGTTTTATGGGGGGGGGGGGGCGGCCTATCTTAGCTTCGGGCCACAAAGCTCGAGAATTTGGAGGCCTTCCTCAACTATCTGGACCGCTCGGGTTTAGAATTAGGGGTTTAGGGTTCAGCGGTTTAACGGCTTAGAATTCGGGGTTCAGGGTTTAGGGTTTAGGGATAGCACCCGCTAGAGCATGGCTGTCGGGTTACGTGCCCTTGGCCTGAGGGCGCATAGATACAGATACAGATATAGATATAGATATAGATATAGACCCTAAACCCTAAACCCTAAACCCTAAAATAGATATAGATACAGATACAGATATAGAGTGCACACTGTGATCCAACACGAACACGTCTGGGGGATCCTTGGAGGCCTTAGGTACATGGACCCTGGGGGCTAGCTTGTAACGGCCCCCCTATGCTGAAAGATGGCTTAGGGTTCAGGGTTGAGGTTCCATGGTTTAGGGTTTAGGGTTTAGGGTTTAGGGTTTAGGGTTTAGGTTCCATGGGCTCTTACAAGGGTTTAGGGTTTAGGGAATAGATGACGAAGGAATCAGGATGAGGAGCTCTAACATGCCTTTTAGTCTTGAGGGGGAGGGAGGTGGTCGGCGTTTAGGATTGCAGAGCCCAGGCAAAAGAAGACGGTGTACAGATAGGGCCTTGGTGATGCGCAGAAGAAATCGTGCCAAGTGCCCTCTAGTGAAAACACTGGAAACAACGCAGCGGCTGTGATCTGTCAAAAAATAGCTCTGCAGGCAGGCAGGCAGGATCAATAGGTAGGCAGAGAAAGCGAGAGAGAGACAGCTGGAGAAAAGCTTGCGTTGCAGCCCCCTAAACCCCAAACCCTAAACCCCTAAACCCTTAAACCCTAAACCCCTAAACCCTAAACCCTAAACCCCAGACAGACCGGTCCTAGTCCCGCCGCCACGAGTAGAGATCCAGTGGGCAGCGGCAGCCTCCCATGAAGTTCGCGTTTCGGTTGAGTCTAGGGTCCGGTTTAAGGTTGAGGGTTTCGTTTAGTTTAGGGTTTAGGGTTTTGGGTCTAGGGTTTAGTTTAGTTTAGGGTTTAGGGTTTGGGTCTAGGCTTTAGGTTAGTTTAGGGTTTAGGGTTTAGACGATTGGACGGGGTTTAGACGATCAGACGAGCCCAAGGAGTTCAAAGTAGAAGCCCAACTACCGAAATAGTGGGTTACTACTATCGGCTGTGTACTGCTGTAGGGGTGCCTGGGCTCCTGTACCCACATGTCACTGAGCATTGGTGGGGCTCTGGGTCCCAGCCTACCCTTTGCTTGGGGTATCTAACTTTGCACTAATGTAGGGGCCTTAATAATTAGAATAGGGTTTTGGGGGTTCCTTACTATAATCATAGTCTAACACACCCCAGACCCCATTCTAATTATTAACGCCCCGATATTACAAGGGTTTATGTACCCAAACCGTGCTTTCTTCGGCCTTGCAGAGGATCCGAATTCCTATATCGGTAATCTAGGATCAAAATGTATACCATCTCCGCGATGGCACAGTAACGCTTCACCTCTTCATCCCACGACTAGCAGTCTCATGATGTTCTTGTTGTTGTCATGCAAACAGGGTCATGGTTCACCGTAGTGCACGTATGGATAGTTTGACAAGTAAAGAAAGAAAACGCAAGAGGAGGACGATGATTGCACAATTCAAACCAACCAGTCATTTAAGCATAGCACCTGCGGTGCAAGATTGCATGTTGATACATGCATACAAAACGGCGGCTAAGGTGGCCCCTAAACCCCAAACCCCAAACCATCGATACTTCTGGGGGCCCTGCCCCTCTGCCAGACTGTGCGGTGGCACAGCCGCGAGGACTTCCCGGACCACACCGGCAAGTGAAATACTGAAGTCTGACAGCGCCTGCCGTGCCTGGCGGCTGGGGCTTGAGTCTTGGAGCAAGATTGCTATGCTTCTTTGTAAATAGGCTTTAGAAGCCGAGCGGGTTTGTGATGATGGTTTAGGGTGCAGGGCTTTGCTGTTTGCATGTGTTCTTGTTGAGCTCAGCCTCCCCTGAACCCTAAACCATTGTCCGTCGGATCTCCAGGCGGCAAGGCGCCAGATTCTCGACTATTCAGTGACAAAACAACGGGGGAGAAGATAAGGTACTTCAAGAAAGTACATGGATGAAACCCTACAACCCTAAAGCCATAAAGCCCTAAACCCTAAACCCTGAACCCTAAACCCTAAACGCTAAACCCTGAACCCCTAAACCCCACACCAACCTCCAGTTGGTGCTACCCGAAGGGTCCGAAGGATCTGATCATTAGGTACTCCGATGTGGGATACTAGGTTTTTCTAGAAAAGACTAGGCTATATACTAGGCTTTTCTAGAAGAACCTACTCATGTGGGTAAATTCCTAGTTTGGAGAGTATATGATAATTAGGTACTTGGTCCCTTAGGGGTAAAGATGAAAAGTAAATATGCGATTGACCGTGCTGCTTCGAAATACTCCCCTTGCGACCCCAATATAGTAAGAATAACCAAAATACGGTGTTGATGTATGCTTTAATGCACACAAAAAACTACTGCTATGTTTTGTCTACTTGTTCCAACCTCCAGACAACCCCGAAATCAAGCCCTTGCCTCCAATATATTCCGACCCCGACGTTGCCCTGCGCCCTACATCCTAAGCCCCAACACCCGAAAGCCTAAACCCTACACCCTAAACCCCAAAACTTGAAGCCCTAGAGCTTGAAAACCGGTACAAACCCTACATTCTAGAAGGTCCTACCTGGACCCCAAAAAGTATGTAGAACAGTTGTCTTTTTTGTAGTTTTTCGGGCCATTCTGCTACCTATCTTTGAGGGTTTATGTGCAACATTTATAACGGCCGAAACTTGACCTGGGACTGGTTGGACTCGTTCACGGCCGATGGCTCCAGCAAGTGCTGCCTGTTCGCTGTGGCCGGGGAAGTTGGCCCAGGTTTAGGGTTTAGGGTACTGTGTGGTCTTATTACCTTCCACAGAGGTTTGGGCCACATTCAGGTATTTCCAAAGCCCAAGTTTCCCTAGCCAGCGCACCCTAGCAACCTACAGGTGAGAGAAACGGGAAACGTAAACACCCGACCCTGATCATGCTAAGACCTAAAACCCTAAGCGCCCAAGCCCTGCACCGACTACCCTAACCCCCACAACCCTTTGCACGACTCCTTAGACACTAAACACGATTTAAACAAATATTGCCCTATTCAGGAACCCTACGGTGCAATACTACTGGTTATATCTTGGCCCCACCATCGGACCTAAACTCAACACCAGAATCCTCATGCATGCATGTGTGTATATACTATATTTACACACATATACACACATGTTGTTGTGTGTGTGTGCGTATGTGTATGTGTGTGTATATATACACATATATAGAACATGTAAAATATTACTTGGCGACCGTGAGCACTAGCATTGCTAATTATAAGGATTCAGGTTTCTATTCTTGAAAATACTTGGGTCCACTGTGGCTCTCCGGTGGCCTGGATACGCGCCCTCGCCGGACGCAGAAAGTCTGATTGGCAAATGCCTGCTCAGAAAGTTTAGGGTTTTTGGGTTTTCGTCAGGTCTAGGGTTTAGGGTTTAGGATTTTTGTCGGGTTTGGGGTTTAGGGCCTTGTTGGTTTCGCGGTTTAAGGTTTACAGTAGGTTTGAGGGTTGACGGAGGCTCCTTGAGTACGGCGTCGAGGTCTGACGAACTGTTTCGGAAGAACGGTGTAGGGTTTACGTAGGGTTTAGGGCAGTACTACATCATCCATGCGTTCAGCGGTTCTTGAAAGACATCGCCACATTGACAGGATACGACATTCTGAGAATGAAAGTTACCGTCATTGTCAACCGGTAACCTGGTAAATTCATCTCCAGAATCACCGTGTCCTCAAATTCTAACCGCTAGCTGGCACCAGCAAGCCCCTCAATACCCTCCACCATTGAACTGTGTGCGTCAATCCCTTCATATCAGAGAACCTGCCCTTGTCGTCACCAGGAAAAGTCACCCCGGCATTATATAATAGACCCCGAAGCCAAGAACACTGAAACCCCAAAAACCCACAAGCCCAAACCCTGATGCCAGAAAAGCCCTGAAGCCCTGAAACTCGAATGGGTCTGGGGTTTAGGGCTTCGGGTTTAGGGTTTCGGGCTTAGGGCCGGCTTAAACCTAACCCGAAACAACAACTAAACTAGGCATTTCTAACCTTAACGACCGAAAACAATCACCCTCGACCTTACTGAAGCAAACCTAAACCATAAGCCCTAGCTGTAGCCAAAAAAGTCCTACCTTTTCAGGGTTCCATGTCATGGCTTCTTGATATAATTCCTTTAACAACAAGGTAATGTAGGGGCCTAATAATTAGAATCGGGCTTGGGTGTATATTATATAATACCAATAGTAATAATCATGATAATAATATTAATCATAATAATAAGAATAGTAATAATAATAATAATAGTAATAATAATAAGGAGCCCCCAATATGGTATAGATAATTGTCTAGGATCCTACAAGTCTTCAACTCTCCACACCTGAACCCTTGGGACTGAAGCCTAGATCCAGATCGCGGAACCCGAAGACCTAAGCCGAAGCCACCTTGAGGCTTAGGGTTTCGGGATTTAGGGTTTAGGTTTTAGGGAATTCGGGTTTAGGGTTTAAGGTTTAGGATTTAAGGTTTAGGGCCTTTAGGGGTTTTACCTACACAGCTTAGGGTTCAATTTAAGGCCCCGATCTGCTCGATTCCATCGGTGCCTCCACGGCTGCGCTCGCGGAGGAGGCCCTTGCTGAGGCCTGAAAGACGATACTGTAGTATATTATAGTGTAACCTAGTATACTATACCGCGTATACCTGATTATCATAGTATATCTTATCATGGCATATGCTCATATTATAGTATAGTGTTGCTTTAATGAAAGTTTCTGAACAGGGGTCACTTCAGGAAATTCAGGGTCTAGGTAAAGCTTAGGGGCTTTGAACTGATTAAAGGATCATGTGAACTGCAGGTGAAAGCATCTCTCTGCAGCTCCTTGTTTGGGGGGCCGGAGGGGCGTTAGCACTCAAGCGGGTGTCTGCAAGAAGATGTAGAGCAATCCCGAAAGCGAGCAAAGCCTCGCAGAAATCTGTATGCAAAACCGAATTGAAATCCTGCACTTGCACCGAAACCCAGTAACCGAAAACACCAGAACTCCAAAACCCCGAAGCCCTCTTCAAAGCCCACAATTCAACCCAAAGGACCCAAATCGCCAGACATAAAACTTGCAAAACACCTTATTAAGTCCCTTGCGGAACCCCGGTAGAAGCCGCTCACAACGGTTATGACCCCGTCAAAAACCCTATCTAACCTCTTAAGCTTGAAACCCTAAACCCCAAACCCTAAAGCAACATATAAGCCCGTTTCAGACCCCTCACAAACTTTATCCAACCCCAGGAAACCAAGCCCTACACCCTAAAACCTAAACCCTAAACCCTAAACCCTAAACCCTAAGCCCTAAACCCAGCTGACGCCGAGCCTTCTCCGAATCATCGTCCAGCCAGGACTTCTTCAACTCCCAAGGCTCCGGCCTTCGAATAGCGTTTAGGGGTTAGGGTTTACGGTCTAGGGCGTAGGGTCTAGGGTTTACCGGTTTAGGGCTTAGGGTTTAGCAGTTTAGGGTTGTTAGTTTATGCTTTAGGCTTAGGGTTTTTACCTTACGGTTTAGGGTTTAGGGTGCTTCGCTCAACGTTGGGGGTTTGAGGGTTTAGCGTGCAGGATGGCAGGGTGTAAGGTTTGCAGCGGATAACCTATACCCACCCCTTTTTAGGGAGATCCTGATCCTGACAAAAGGGTAGGGATGGGGAGGGTATGGCCGACCGGGTAAGGTCCAAGGAAGTCGAACTCTGCGGCTAGTCCTAGGGTACCTGTAAGGATTCCTTTGAAGCGTTCTTTGAAGGGTTATTACAAGGGTTCCGCTATTCTTGGGGCCTGGAAAAGTAGAATAGTGAATAGGGCTTGCTGAAGGGCCTCGAATCTGCAAGTCATCTAGTCGAACCCATAGAATCGTCCTAGAGTCCTAATTGTAGTTCGTTTTTTGGGTTTAACCTATTTTATATTAAGGACCTTTTATAAAAGGTTACCCCAAAAAGGAACTACGAGGAGGCGTGCGCGCCTTGCCGGCCACCGGCCGACAAGCACATGATGAAGCAACGAGAAGCCGTTCGCATCGAAATTTACAGGTTGTTGGGGCCTGACAGAGCTTCGGGTTTAGGGTTTTAAGAGTGTGGATTTTTAAAACTACTTTGGGGTCTCGCAACAGGAAGGAGGCGGCATGCTCGTCTGACCTTCTTTTGGCACTCAAGCTCTTCCCCTGGCTTGTCCATGCCTCAGTGGCACAAAGCTGAGACATTGTACTCAGCAATGCGCACGGTGAAGGATCTGTCTGATGCTGGCGCCAGACAAAGTGCTCGACCAGCAGCACCAGGTCTTCGTTTTCTCTCGCAGCTCCAACTGCCATGGAGACCATAGGTACTTGGAGGATCATGGGACTTAGTAAGTAAGGTTATAAGTACCCAAATTGGGGTCATAATTATAGTTACCTTATTTATAACCCTATTTACTAAGTCCCGTGATACCTAAACCCTAAACCCTAAACCCTAAACCCTAAACCCTAAAGGGTCATGCTCGTCGATCTCCTCGGCTTTCAAGTCGTCTTCTGCTTCCGCGACTCAGAAGTCTCCGTCCAGCATCCGGCTGCCGGGAGCTATCGGACTCACGGTTTAGGGTTTAGGGTTTTGGGTTTGGGGTTTAGGGGTTTAGGGGTTTAGGGTAGGGTTTAGGGTTTAGGGTTTAGGGTTTTGGGTTTGGGGTTTAGGGGATTATCGGACGGCCATTCTCGTCTGCAGACAATAGGGGCCTGAATGGTAACCAATACCATTTGGGGAGTTCCTTATTGTAATTATGGTATAATATACCCCAAAGCTATATTCTAAAAAATAAAGGCCCCTACAGTACTTCATCTGCCCCGCAGACCCCTCATCCCAATCATCTCCGGCAGCATCATCTCCACACCCCTCATCCTGAGCATCGATGAAATTTGCGATGTCCGACCACATCTGATGCTTTGGAGCTCCAGTTGAACGGCTCTCATAGGGTGTTGGGTACATTATACTGTAAGAATACTGGGGACCAATCGGGGATTCTGTTGCTGACTAGTCAGACCCCTCGATTACATTGTTTAGGCTCCATTTTAGAGTTCTGTTTCGGAATAGATCTAAGTTATGCCTATGGCCGCCATGGCCGTATCCCTGAAAACCACACGTTGGGTTCTTTTCGGGCTTGCCTTGCGGAGATCAAAAGGGAGCTTGGTGTTGTGTAAAAGTTTGCAGGAGCCACAACGAGCTTCGGGGTTTCAACTCTCTGGGTTTCGTATTGAGTGCTTGTGGCGATCAAGGTGCGCGGCAAAGAGTTTCCTGACACGATCTCTCACACCTACAGCATTCGCGACCCTGCGAGGTTTGTAAAAGTTAAGGCGCTGTGAACACACAGTAATTCGCATCGGGAACAGCCTCTTTGTACCGTCCATGCAGTGGCAGTGCTTGGTACAGCACCCGGGTGGCACTGCCGGCGGATGGCCTGGCACAAATCCGCAAGTCTGCAAAACAAATTTGCAAAAACAAACAACACTTAACAAGGAACACCTCCTTGCAACAGGCCGTTGCTCAGGTCCCGCTTCGGGTAGGCATAGCGTTTTGAGTTCGTGGCTCCGTTTCATAACACTTTCTCCCATTTCTTCCATCTTGTATACCCCAAAGACCCTACCAAATCCTAACAGCGCCCCACAAGAAGCAGCCTCGGCTCCGTTTCATAACACTTTCTCCGATTTCTTCCATTCTGTATACCCCCAAAGACCCTACCAAATCCTAACAGCGCCCCACAAGAAGCAGCCTCACAGGAAATTATAAAGGGAAGCCCATTCTTGGCTTTACAGCTAACCCAAACGTGCCGCCCCGGGAGCTTGACCTGGCTCATGAATATAGGATTTAGGGTACAGGATATAGGGTTTTAGGGTTTAGGGTTTAGGGTTTAGGGTTTAGGGTTTAGGGTTTAGGAGTTAGGGTACCGGATATAGGGTTTGGGGTACAGGGTGTAGGGTTTTTAAGTCCCAATGACAATCGCCATTGCAGTATGAGCCCGCAATAAAATTGAAATGGACAGGTACGGAACGTCGAGACGCTGATCGTCCTGGTAGCAATGGCAACGATTCAAACAGTGACCTTGATAGAACTTAAGTTATAATCATGATGGGCACACACCAACCAGTTTGCAAAATACAACGTCACAGGAACCTGAACAAGAAAACATGACCACAACTGCTGATACGCAAACCGTAACCAAAGCCAACATATTGCAATAGCAAAGCCAAAATACCCTAAACCCCAACAAACCTTTAACCCTAAACCCCAAAAGGGTAGTGGCAATAGCAAAGCGAAAATACCCTAAACCCCAAAAGGGTTAAAACTTCGTAGTGGCCTGGTGGATAACCCGATTCATCTCTGGGCCATGCGATAATCCTGAGCACAAGTCGGCGTCGAAGTTGGGCATATTAGGGTTCAGGGTTCAGGGTTCAGTGGTTTAGGGGTTTAGGGTTTAGGGTTTCAGGTTCAGTCCGGATTTGGACAATGTTTCGGGTCGCCTCTTCTTGTTTGAAGGCCTCAAAGTACAATATGCGGGCAGAAATAGTCCAAGAATTCCAGAAAATCCAGCTTAGCCCTTAACTGCATTCGTTGGTTCTTCTTTCCTTGTTACGTGTCCCTCACCATGATGTCCAAACTCATCGTACACATGAACCCTAAACCCTAAATCCCTGAACTCTGCACAACACCCAAAGCCCAAACCCCTAATATTCATCACAGAGAAATCACAGAAATTTCAAGGACCTGCAACCCCTGCACATTTCTTCCACAAAATGAGACTACGAGCCTGCCCCTTCCAAGAAGCTATGGACAATCGCGGCCCTCAGGGATCACCTCAACCCCAGCACTATGTAGAACACTAGGCCTTTGTAGATGTTGGACCATTATATTACATACGTTTTTTTTGTGAGGGGGGGTCTCTAAACCCTAAACCTTAGGTAGGGCATCAGCCAAAAACCTCGAACCCTGTAATAATGCCAGAAAGATCTCAGATGCAGAGTTACAAAAAAACAACGGCCGAGAGCTGGGCTTTGTTTAGGATAGCAAGGGGATCCATGTTCAGGGTTTAGGGTTTAGGGTTTAGGGTTTAGGGACGCCCCCTTGGGTTTTGACCCCAAGGTCTTTTTGGGTTTAGGGTTTAGGCCTTATAGGGTTTAGGGATTGAAAAAATGCGAGGCCGGAATTTCCAAAAGCAACGAAAAGGTCCCTCGGATAAATGGAGCAAAGAACTCTTAAAATCCTACATTCGAATTCGAGTATACAACCTGAGTCGATAGACGTGAGAACAACAACCCGAGCCACGAACACTAAACCTTAGTAGCAATATCTGATACCCCGAACCCTAAATCCTTGAGCCCCGCGTCAAATCGTCCGGCTGCTTGCCGATGACGATACCATGCCGTCGCCGGGGCTCCAGCATGTCCTCCCAATGCTCCCACGACCTTCAGGGTGGTGATTAGGGGTTTAGCGTTTGGGGGTTTGGGTTTAAGGTTTTAGGGTTTAGGGCTTTAGGGTTAAGGGTTTAGCTAGTGTCTCGGGTCTAGGCATGTAGGGTTCACTGTTTCGGGAATAATTAGAGGCGTAAGGTTTAGGAGCTCAGGGCGCGGGGTCGTTAGCCTCGGGCTGCTGATTGCTGATAACTAAACCCTAAACCCCTAAACCCCTAAACCCTAAACCCCTAAACCCTAACCCCTAAAACCTAAACCCTAAACCCTTAATCCTAACCCTTAAATCCTAAACACCTAAACCCCAAAACCCTAACCCCTAAACCCCTAAACCCCAAACCCAAACCTTCCACGGCGAGCCTGGACTCCAGAACAGGATTGGAAGCAACCGGGGGCTTCGCCTCCTCGACTCCTTCCTCGCTCTCTGCGTCGTCATCGTAGGCCGACAGCAGTGACCCAACCTGACTTCCCGAATAAGCCAGGGACATGAAAGGTTAAAGTTTCAGATTACTACAAAATTATAAGAGCCCCAAAAAGTTTAAAGGTTGAGTATTGGGGATCTAAGTAACTGTCTTGCTCTTGGCCTCTTGAGGCTTCGCCTCCGCTGCCTGCGCGCGATCTGCCTTCGCCACAGTAGACGCCGCCTGGACGACCCCGGCAGGAACGCGAGGCTCACCAGGCGCGGTTTTCGCAGCCGATTCTGCGACCACCGCAGAAGCACCCACAGATGAAACTGTGGAGGCAGGCATGCTTTGGGCCACGATCTGCACCGCACCTTCTGGGAGCCAATCTGACCAACAAACAAATTGCATTGTTAATATCTCCTGGGTGCATAGTCTTGAAAAAGGCTCCTATGGAACACCCAGGCACCTTGCTGGGGAATTTGAAAAACCTGAGGGACGCTGGCGGTCAACAAGCCGCCAGGCACCATGAGCCTTAGCTGCTCTTCGGATCAACTCAGTGTCGACCAAATAAACCCTAGACCCTAAACCCTAAACGGCTAGCCCTCCTTAAAGGGCCCATGCACCCTTCTGAAAGGGTCCATTCAAATTGCCATCACCGCCTCCTGAAAGGCTGAGGCGGGCTTTCGGCTTTGAATGGGGTCTGTGGGGTTATAGGGCTATGTGTTATAAAAGCCTAAACCCTATACCCACCTGCAAGCCTGTTGGAGCAACAACTTGCACTCTACAGGTACATGAACCATCACGGCCAGCTGAAGAGCGCAGGGCTTGTTGTAAGGACTATAGGGTTTAGGGTCTCGGGTTTAGGGGTTAAGGGTTTAAGGTATTTAGGGGTTTAGGGTCTAGGGTTTAGGGGTTAGTAAAGTTAGTGGCTCAGGGTTTTGGGGTTATGCGGCCCGGTATTTATTTGCACAAAGGGCCCTCTGCTAAAGAATCCTTGGGGTTCTTTGGGAAGCCCAGGAGCAAGGGCCCGGCAGCAAATGCAAGGTTGCCAGGGCTTATACCCATGGACACCTTGCCGTTGGCACAAAAGTGCAAAGGGTCCAAAGTACCGACATGGTAGAAAAATTGGGTTTTAGGAATTACTATTATGATTTGGGGAAGCATCCCCATAGCAGTACGTAGGACCCTTTGGGAACGGGAGTGTGGCTGCTTGCGTGCTCTGGCATTCCGGTAGCCGCTAAGAATCGGTGTCTCTGACTTGCAGGTTACGATCTTTGTTCAGGGCTTTAGGATTTGGGAGGTTTTGTGGCATGGGGCTTTGAGTGTTGGCTTCAGCAGCGGTGTAGGGTTCTATATTTCTAGGGTGTAGTGGTGGTGGTGGCACGGGCTTAGTATTTCGGGTTCGGTTTCAAGGTTTGAGGTCCATGGCGCACTTGCTGGTGTTGCATAAACCCCAGTGGCCTTCTCAGACCCCCAAGAAGATCTACAAAACAGATCTATTAACTTGGGAACTTATTACTGCAGGGTAATTACTGCATAAGAAACCCCTTAAGGGGATCTACTTTGGGATCCTCCCAGGGGGCTGGGTCTGTGCGCCACCCTAAACCCGAAACACTAAACACCAACCCCCCCTAAAGCCTAAACCCCTAAACCCGAAACCCACATAGGTGCCCGTGTGCCAAGAACTCCAATACAACATCTTCGTTCACGGCACGTGTGCGGTGCTCTGAGGCACCCTACTCCCGACGAGAACCCCCCACGCCCTACCTCTGTACGGCTCCTTATTGTGATTTCCATTTCGAAAATCCTGAAAAAGGCAGGTCTAAACGGGTCCAAGTACCCTAAACCCTAAACCCTAAACCCTAAACCCTAAACCCTAAACCCTAAACCCTAAACCCTAAACCCTTCACCATGCAGTCGTAAGGTCCTAATTCGACCCTGAGGCCTAGAACTTCGTCTTCGGACCTGAAGTTGGTCTCACCCTGTGACCAAGCTCAGTTCATAATTCATAACCCTAAACCCTAAACCCTAAACCCTAAACCCTAAACCTAGGGTTTAGGGTGTGGGGCTTGGGGGTGTATTTGGGTCAATTCCGAGGAAAGCATGCCTCAGACCTCAATTTCTGAATCCTCAACCCTCAAACCTAAACCCCCAAACCCGGGCTATGAACACCTGCCAAACTCCAGCACCGAAGACAGAAACCTAGGCTCAACCGACTAATAGAGGAGCCGTTAAAAATTAGAATAGGGTTTTGGGGCCCATTATACTATAAATGTACTAAGGAAGGAACTCCCAAAATAGTATTGGTAACTACTTCGGCCCCTTTATTAGGGTCCTGAACCCTAAACCCCAAACCCTAAACCCGAAAGCCTAAACCCTAAACCCTAGAGCCTAAACCCTAAACCCTAGAGCCTAAACCCTAAACCCTAAACCCTAAACCCTAAACCATTATTAGGGTTTAGGACTTAGGGTTTA